ACAAATATTATGCAAAGGTCAACTTTTAAATTCTTAGTAGTTTAGAAAAGCATTAGTAATAACAAAAAATTAAAAAACCAAGAAAAAACGGGAATTTTTAGGCATAAACGGTTTTTAACAAAACCGATTTTTGATTTTGGTGTAGATATTCGTAAATGAAATGTTTACTGAATGTTTATAATAGCATTTTCTTATGTTCTTATAGGTACACCATACAATTTTCAAAATATTTTAACTTATTTTAAGCTTTTTACAGATACTTACAATCTTCATTTTTTTTTTTTTTTTTTATAAATGTCAATAAAATTGTATACGTAGGGTAAAAAAGCTTGAAAATTTAATATTAAGCTCTTAATATATGTTATAATGATGGTAATTTGAAAAATATTAATCTATAGAGTTATATATTTTTTTATAAATATTTAAAGTTCGAATTTTGACAAAATACGTAAGAGTAATTTATAAACTATAAAGCTTTTAGAAGCTTAACATTTCATCAAAATTATAATTTATTCATTAATAATATCCAATATTCATTTTTCATCATGTTCGACAATTCTATAAATATTTATGTTATACAGTTCACTTACACAAAAAATAAAAGTATTAGATAGGTACCTAATATTATATGGTCTGTATATAATATAATGTAGTATAATACGTATTTCAATTTTCAATATATAAATTTCTTAAAATGTTGAACACATATCAATTCTAAGTGCTGTAGCCTTTACAGTACTGTAAACAAAGAAAATTCATTAATGAAAAATAAATTTAAAGTAGGTACCTACTGTAATATTATCACATATACACAAATAATAATAAGTGTTTTATTTCGTTAATTACACTTCAGACCTGACAGTTTAATAATATTTATCCAGGCAATGATAATAATTGATGTAAGTTAACTGCCACTTTTATTTGTACCTACCTATCTATTATTCCGACCAAACATAAGTGTCAAACGAAATACGATTATACTCTAAAACAGTATCAATACAATCTTTCTATTTGTATTTAACATAAATAATTAATTAACTTATAATCAAAACAAAAATTATGAGTTCCTAGCTATCTTTATAACCTTAATATAATATAAGTATTTGGTTTTATGATATAATATTATAATGCAATGTATAATTTATTATTATGTTCAATTTTAATTGTTTAGCTATCATAGTTTAATACTTGAAGCTAATAAAATAATAATATAAGTAATTATAATCATGCCTTACGAATTTTTTCCCACGTAATGTCAGTCAATAAATATTTATTTGTGATTCATCATAAGCGATGCCCATATAGCACACAGATATTTGTAGATGCATCGTGACATGCTGCTGTGGCACCTGCAGTGCAATTTTATCAAAAACGGTCGCCATTGCGATGTTATTCAAGAGATTGTATAGCTTAACAGAAGACGTGTTTTCCGATTAATATTCTAGAACACAATTAATAATGAAAGGATTAAAATCGGAGTGTGTCAAAATCGAGGTAAAAAAAAAAAATGACGAGAATTCATCAAGATTGAAAAATTACTWAATCATTATGTTATACAGGATTTTTTTTAACTAAAATGTATCTTTCAAGAAATGTACTAGCGATCTACTWAGTGTAAAATATAAAATGCAAAACCAATCAAAACGGGTTTCCTCTAGGCAGTATTATTGTCAAAAGATAAGTAGAATAACAATAATTGCCAATCACTCGAAATATATTGCATAACTTACACCTACCCCAGAAATGATTTTTTTGTTCGTCTTGTTAGTTATTACTTGTTAGTTGTTACTATGTAATTTATTATGAATTTTATAGTTTATGATCACATTAACTTGTTTTTATGTCTCTGGTATTGTCGATTCCCGTTCGTACATATTTTCTCATAAGTTATTGTTCATAAATTCTTCTTTACCAAAAATGTTAACATACTCTTTGTCCGAACTCCGAACTGATGATTTTTATAAAAAAAAATAATCGATTCCAAAGATATTTTTGTCGTCGTCACGTCGTTGTTTTTGTTTTCATTACCTACCTAACCTTAAATTTATAAATTCCGGGAGGAATAAAAATGAATTAGTTCCTTTAAGTGTTTTTATTTTTATTTTTAGCGATAAACAGATATATTATCGAATATTATATCAACRATTAATAGAGATAGAATAAAGTTTTAGTTAATTTTTGGGAAAATTTCAAAAATGAACCATTCTTATTTCTTAAGCTCACTCAGTTCAATAATAGTTTTACTGATCATACTATAATATATTGTTCAGAAATCAACAATTTGTTTGATCACTATTGTAAACATCTGTTTTGAGGATTTCGAATTTTCGAACTACTTGACTAGGTACGAACATACGATTAGAACCTAAGAATTTCCAATCTCAGAAGTTCAAAAGACGTTCACGAACTATTTTATTAATACAAATGCACAATGCTGCTATCTTTTTTTTTTAACTGCAAACTGTTAAGTTACAGGTATTGAAACAGTTTAGAATAGTTCAACAAAGTGAATAAGTTAAAACTATCAATTATTCGTTTCGAACTTAACATCTCTAATGATTAGGTATAATAATAGTTGACTAAATAATAAATATTTTATACTTTTTAAGACTTAATTCGTTTTTGATTAATTTTTATAAATGTATAAAAAGGCATAGGTATTTATTCAATTGAAACCATCCATTTTCAATTATCATGATTCATGATTCTAAAAAGTGTATTACATAATATCCATTATTCCAAAATACCTGCTATTGCCACAAATGAAACATTTAATAATCAAAAGTCATTGTTTTAAATAGTTTAATTAAACGCTTTATCATATAATATTATACAAAAACACCTACAATTGAAAATTATTATTATTGTATTAATATATATATAATATATATACATATAATTAAAAGATAGGTACCAATTAATTTGGCTTTACCATTTTATTATTATTTTTTTTTCAACAATAATTAAAAATTAATTGATACTAATATTGAAATGGATACAGACAGATTATATCATTATATTTGCAGAAACTTACAATTATTTACCAAAATATTCTGATAGTTGGAAAACAGCATGGTGCCAAAAAGATAACCAATATAATTATATGACTTATCAATTCGTATGACCGATACCAAAGGTAATTTATAATTCAAATACCTAATTTATTGCTGTTAATTTTAGATTATAATCTAAACACTGAGCGATGTACCTATGTATTGATTTAACAATGTTTTTCTTTTGTTTATGAAGACATTATACCTATAACTCAATATTTTTATTCATTATTGAAGTGTAAATTTTAACGAAATCAGATAAATTTAAAGATAAAATAACGATTTTAGTTTGTTTTGTTGTAAATGAAAAAAATTATTCGCAAACATTTTGAACATTTTTTTTATCATCTTAAGCCATGTAGATAATATAGGCAAGTACTATTATTGTAATAAATTAAATATATATATTGAAATCGAAGAGAGAGAAAAACGGATAGCTCAGAATCATAATCTATATAGCTATATATAACTATAAAAGTACCGTGATTCATCATTGAATTCAAATTCATAATATATCCCTTAATGTGGGTTATTATATTATGATAATGGAAGTTCACTCGAATTTTGATACCTAATTATACGTCTATCGTCTATACAGCAGATCGACTGCCGGATTGTTTTAAAATTTAAAATACTAAAATTAAGATCACACGGCGTCTTAGATAGGCTATTTAGCTACACCGCTATGGCGTGTGTATTAAATATTTACGTAATATATAATTATAATATTATATATGTATAGATAGAAAAGTATTTTTTTTACTGTTATAATTTATTCAATCTTGGTTATGTATTCAAAATATACTTATCGTAGGCCAGTTTTACCAACTATCATAGAAATTGGATAAAATTCCAAAAAAGGTAAATCTTTCTGTTTATCGCTTGCTTAATTGCAAAAGAAAAAACAAAAGCTATTCTTTCATAAATGGTATTTGCAAATCAATTTTACAGTTTTTCGACTTAAAATTTTTTTTGTTAATTTTGGATAATTATTAATGAAAGTACTAAACTAAAAATAATTTGTAAAATTATGTTCCTAAAAAAAGAAAAGAAGAGAACTGGGATATCTTATATTTTCGATTCCAAAGTAATAACTATATCAAATATACTACCAAAACTATTCTTGAAGTTAAGCACTGTTTTGATCCAAAATGTGATTAAGTACAAATTAATTAAAATCACATTATTTTAAAACCAATAGTCAATATTCAATTCATTCCACTCAGAATCTAAATTCACGGTTGAAATTAACTATTTTTAATCAAGATAAATAATTTAAAAAAATAGAATATATGATACATATAAAACTACATAAGCCTGTCCTTTTTTTGAATGTATGTTGAATAAGTGACTCAACATTTATAGTTTAAAATATTTAAAGTAGTATATAAAATAAAATACCAAACTTAGGTACTGAAAATACATATTTATCAAAACATAATTAAATTCTGACATGTTTTACTCAATTTATATTCAGTCTACAATTTACTTGATATTTAATTACCATTTTTTGTAAACCAAAAAAATTATAAATACATAATAATGTTTTACAAAAAAGAAATAAATTGTAGTGTAAAATATTTTATTTAAATATATTTTACCTTTTTACAAGAAATATTTTATAGTTTTGACATTCTTAAAATATGTTAGTAGAATATTTACAAAAATAAAAATAAAGTAAAGATCAACAAATAATAAATCACTATTATAAAACAGGAAATCAATTAGATTATTCTAAGAATCTACTGTCATTTATTTTAATATCTTATTTAATTTGGCAATACAAACACGATTAATAAATGTTACTATATTTTTTTTGTTTAAGTACATAAGTCATATTGTCAACTATATAAACATATAGATTTTTAGTAATTATTTGAAAAAGATCATTATCAATTAAAAATATTTATAATTTATAAACATCTATGTACAAGTATACAACCATAATCTAACTAATAACTAATCCTCATTAAAGTATGATACTTCGACTACATCACCTCCAACATTTAAAAGACATTGTCCCTAAAATAAAAATGTGATAAGTAGGTATTAAATATGTATTTTTTTTAAACAGTGTAATCAGTTATAACAAAGAAATTCTTATACATAGAATTATATAAATATATATTGTAAACCCAAGTGGCAAGAGGATTCCTATTTTTTGATTTAGCCGTTATAGAAATGAGTTTCCACTCAAATCCTTAAGTGTTATTGTTATTACCATTGTTCATATTATACAACTTACTTGATTTTTATGAGGATTATTCAGCAAAATACATTCGTTCATAAAGTAAGCTACCATTGCATTTCCTCCAAGTGCAGTTACATGTGCACGAACTATTGCCATTACTTCAGCCACAAAACAATGAACAAAGCCACTTAGACCACCACTCT